GCTAATACCAATGATCATATCTCCAATACAGTTGACCACTTCTAATCCTTCTATATCACCCCATATGGACTTAACTAACTTTTGCTATAATCCAGTTAATCCTAAATACACCTTAATACTAAATGTCCCTTTGATCTACTTTTCCCTCTCATTATGGCAGACAAAAATTCTGGGAGTGAGAATTTTGGAAAGCTGATTAGCTATTTTTATACTATTTTTATTTCTGAACATGATCGGATTATGTTTTTGGGACAATCTGGTCCGGATTTTCCGTATCAAAATCCCGAAAATCCGGGAAATCAAGATCCCCCTTCGTTAAACAAGCTCCTTGTCATTGGGACAAGGGGAGCTTGTTTAATCCCAACGCTTTCATTTTAAGATAAGCTTAAAATCTATAAATTTTAGGGCTTAGATGATACTGCAAGTGCTGATTGGTTAATCAGTCTCAGCCCCGGCAGATGGCTATATGCTGATATCGTCGATGTCGCAATAAATAAATTATGTGTTGGCCATCCAATCATCTACATCAATCACTTAGAAATGCTGAGCTTCAGGAGAAATGAAAAAATTTCTGAATCATTAAAAATTAACGTTAATGGTGTCGACACGATGATGACTGTAATGCTATTAAATGGCAACCATTTTATTTTGTTGAAGGCAGATATAAAAAACCGCCAAATATTCTCATACGACTCAAGTAACAACCGTTTTCATAGTGAAAGGCATGAATACATGGAAATTTTCTTGTAAGATTTTTAACTTAAACTGTAATTAGAAAATAGTATAGACAAAATTAGTAGATAAATAATAGAGGATGTTAGTAGACACACACCTCCCGCTTTGAAAAAAATCTTAGGCTTATCACTCAAAGCCGATCTAATTAATTAAAAAGCTTTCTAAATATTTTATAACCGGAGCTTTATATATATTTGTAAATATTTATTTCTTAAGGAGATATGGATATTTAAATAAAATTACATAGATATTTCTTTCTTTAAATAATGAGAATATAATTAAATAATAAATTTTAGCGAAATGATTGAACAAATTTATGAATCTTCTAATATTAATATTGGTACACGAAAAGGCTGGAAATTAAATGATGTACTTAAAGTACCCCAACAAGAAAATGGACATGATTGTGGCATATTCGTTATATTATTTGCACAATTTTTGATCTACAAGAAGGAAATGAATTTTACACAAAGTGACATACCTTATTACAGGAAGGCAATATTAAGGTTCATCATTTCAGGAGATGTTTGATTTTATGAAAAATTTTAAGATAATTAATTACTTCAATGAAATTCAAATGGAATGCAGGGAATTTCCAGCTTCCATTTAATTTCATTGTTAGTGGTTATTTTGACAAATTATATATTTCAATGATTTATTGTTTAGGATATTTATATTTTTAAAGCAACTTTAATATTTTTTGAAAAATAATAATTTATGTAAATTAAGTAAATAAAATTACTTCAATGAAATTCAAATGGAATGCAGGGAAATTCCCGCTTCCATTTAATTTCATTGTTTTAGTTTTTTAATTACAATATAATTTTAAAGTTGCTTTTATCTTTTTTTCTTTTATTTTTCAACAATATTGAAACAATTATTTAAAATATATTTAACTTGAGATAATTAATTCTTCAATAAATTTCAATCAATAAAAAAATTTTTTTATGAAAAACTTTCAAAAATTTTTTTTCAGATAATTTTCTACCCATATCCATATTATCCAGAGTGTTTTCGGAAACAGAAAACTACCATAAATCGTTTTATTTGTAATATTTTGCATCAAAATTAACTTATTTAACATTTTCTGCTTAAAAATGAAAATTTTTCCGTTAAAAATTTTCTGTTTTCGGACCATATTTGATCCATATTTTGGATTTTAGTCCATATTTCAGTACATATTTTGAGATTTTTAGTCCATATTATATGTCCATATTTTTCGATTGATAGTCCATATAAATCCCATCTTTACTCATAAATTTATGATTTGTTAATAGAAAATTGGAAATTTCGTTGTTTGTCGGCAGGATCCTTGATGAGTACCCTCAAAATCAAATATTAAAAATTAGACAACATAACTAAAAGTATGTCATTTGACTTAAAATGCAAAGATTAATTGTTAGAAAACACCTAACAGACAAAAATATTAAACATGAAAAAGAAGCTTACATCAAACTCGATTTAGTATGATTTTAATAAAAAAATAATTGAAATTATTTATAAGGAGTAGACGTTAATGCAGCATTATGTCGAAATTTTCGTAAAATAAGCATTTATTAGTTTTATGTAAGACTTAAACAATAATTGTAGTTTTCTCATTTTTTGCATTTTAGTAAGAGATAAATTTTTTGTTAGCACTGTAATATCCGAAAATTATGATAAATTAGAGAAAAATAGTCAAAGGAAAATACAAAAATTTAATTGTTAGTTAGTAACTAACATCCAAAAATTTAGACATAGCCAATACAATTTACTACTGGATTCATTTATGGTTCTAAAATATGAGTATATAATTCAAAAATTTTATAATGAGTAGATACTAAAAAGTATGATAAATTAACAACGAATAGTTAACAAAGAAAATTACACAGGAAAACTTTGCTGTACCTGTTCCTAGACTATGGGCTTTCATCCCAATGGGACTTCTTTCCTAGACCTCATCCCAAAATAACCTGACTATTTTCAATTGTCGCGCCGCAGGCAAAAATTTTGGGAATTTTGAAAGACCATGAAGTTAGATTTTTTCCTTTTTTACTTATTCTAATTTCGGATATCCGGATCCTGCATCTGAACAAAAATTTTGGATATCCGGCCTTTTTCGGATCCGGATATCGGATCCGCCAACCATAGTGACGATCCGCCAACCATAGTGAAATCTTAATCTTCCAAGTGCGTCAATTTGTTTTATATTTATGACTTTAACGGGATTCATAAAGAATTTTGTTGATTTACTGATCGGTGTACATAACCTAAATATCCTCAATTGACGTGCCGCCATGGGAAGATAGGTTGTCGGTTCTGGACAACTTTCCGAACCCAAACGAAAATTCGAACGAGGGTAAATTAAACTACCTATTATATTAGTTTCTGAACGAAAATCCCAATCGTGGAAGGACCCCCGAAAGCCTCCTTATTAAAAACAACTCAAGTCAAGGTTATTAGAGATCGGTCTGGATCCGTATTCAGTCTGGATTTTTTTAGGATCCAGATCAGGGCTTGGCTTATTTCGAACTTTCGCGTTTCGCATCTTTCGCATTCTCTTATTTTTTGGCGCGAAAAGTTTCGCATTTGCTTTTTATTTCTAGATTTCGCCCAGCCCTGATCCAGATCAAGAATCCAATAAAGCAGCTGGGCTATAGCTATTTCTCTCCTTTAGCTAGTGCAAAAGGTTAATCGGCGGCTGGGAGCGAACCAGCATCTTCAGTAGACCGGACTGATTGTTAGCCATTACAGCACGCCGCCTACTGCACAGCCTTAGGAATTAAATAGCTATATGCTTTACAATCCTGTCCTGTTTATTGACTTAAGTCCAGATCCATAATCCAGCTCCAGGATTTTTGAAAATAGCTATCTCTAATGGCTAAAAAGATTAAATCAATAAACTAAAAATTAATTTTTAAAAATTTATTTCAAATTTGAATAAGAGAAAGCACGTGAAACATCAAAATTGTCAACTTTATTTGTTAACCAAAAATCGCTTAAAATTAAAAATGAAGCGGGCGTCAATCAACGTGGAATATTTAGACAAACTTGCTTCAATGGTAAAATTTTAAACCAAAAATTAAAAAAAGATTTTTTTGGCAAAAAAGTAAAAAATTAAATAAAATTTCTCTCTTATGGGTAAATGAGAAGCCCAACATGTGCGGTTGATGGCTAAAATTAAAATAGAATTGTGCTTGTTTAGCTGCTATAGACGTAAGCATTCATAAAATTCTAAGCGTGGATTTTTAAAAAAAGACAAAAAAAATTTTTGAAATCATCAGCATAAAATAGAGACGGTTTCAAGGCAGTCATAAAAAATTTCAGAGAAATTGCCAATAAAAAAAATTCAAGGAATATGATCCTAAATTTGTGCCTTGTCTTCTTTACAGGTAAAAATTTTAAATAATTTGGTAAGGTTAATTTTATTAAGAGGAGGTAAGAGGGATGTAGTACATAAGAGTGATTAGAAGATTTCAATAAAAGTGATGGATTTAGTAAAAGGGATTAAGAGGGATTAGGAACAGATTACTTATAATTGTGTGGGAGGAGTAAAAATTTAAACCTGAAAAGCATCAGTTCTTCGACATAATACATTTGCGAGATGTGCTCTTACCATCTATGGTTTAAGGTTGTCGGAACCTTTCTTACTTACCTTTCTCTTAATATATTTTATCTCCCGTTTTGTGAAGGAGTCTAAGCTTCTCGTTTAATTAAAATACTTAGGAAAACAATGAAACTAAACTTTTAAAATTTCAGCATGTCTATACATATCTGTCGAGGGTTTAGGACTTCATCAAGCAAAAATGACGGACGACTTACGATATGCAATTTTGAGAGCACACAATAATTATCGTAGTCAGCTTGCTAAAGGCCTAGTTACCGATGGCTCGAACAAAACAATGCCAAAAGGAAAGAATATCTACAAATTTGTAAGTGAAATGGGTGAATACGCTTTTCTCCTTTTCTTTTCTTTAAGCTCCTTAATTTTTAGGAGTGACTTTGAGGAGTACAATTTCTATATAACCCCTATATAAAGTTCATTTTGTGTGAGGACCTTGACAAAATCCTTGCTGATTCAAGGAAAAATCGAGGAAAATGAAAATTAATCTTGTCCATAGATCAGGATCCAGGCCGATCTCTATGGTCTAAATAAAATTAAACAAAAATACGGAGGAGATAAAGCGATTATACAAAAAATATATTAAAAAAATCATTGAATCCATTTAAAGATATACAAATTATCAATTGAGAAAATTGCCCAGGCAACTGCTGATAATTGCAAAATGGCACATCCTGGCACTGTTGGATATGGAGAAAATTTGTGGGCAAATAGCTGGGCTATGGATAATTTGAGTAAGCTATTAATAAGGATAGCTTCACTTATAAGCTTCCTCTACTACTCCTAATGTCTTAACAGATCTTAGTAATCAAAATATAAATTTAGCGGAAGCAGTAAATGGCGCTCCTTTATCTTGGTGGAGTGAGAAAAATCAGTGCCCTATACTTGCGAACAATCTACAAGTGACTCCTGATGTTTTTGATAAATGTGGACATATGACTCCGGTTAGTATCTAAGAAATTAAAAATTTCAATAAATTTATAGATGGCATGGTCACATACTACTCAAATTGGATGTGGTATACAGCTTTGTCCAGCTCAAGATTGGTGCTCAGGATGGGTTTGTATTATATTAATTAAACAGCTGGAACAGAATAAAATAACGCTAAAATAACATTAAAATAGCTCAAAAACATCTCAATTTATGCGGCGTTTAAAATTAGTCTGGCCACTTGATTGAGTTGCTGCGTAAGCGTTGACCGTATTTTAGGCTGTAACCTCCACCCACTCTCTTCAGAGTGGAGAGTGGGTATACCTCATTTCATTAAGTACTCCATTTTTATGCCGCGTGAGAGTTTCTAATCATATGTCGGAAAGTACTCCAATTAGATATATTGGGTCATATAATACGACCATTATAATAAACCCATTATAATACGGCCATCATATAGTCCGTAATTTTAAATGATACTCTATCATATGATTTACTCGATACAAGCTCTCATGTAGCACTAGGGCAATTAAGTCCTTCTGATGCTAATATGTAGAGTAGAAAAATAAGAATAAAATCTTTAGAATTTATCAACTATATTTATTTTTTATCACACAGAACCCACCTTGTTTTAATACAACGCTTATCTCTTGCAATTATTTTAACCCGTGAGTGCATAATATATTATTATTCAATTAATCTGCTTATTAAAATATAGAACCAATGACGCAGGGAACATTTTAATGTACGAGAAAGGAAATCCATGTACTAAAGATTCTGATTGTGATTACTATGCAAATTCAAAATGTGACACGAGTTGTGGTCTTTGTAAAGCACCGTTAGATGCTACTGATCCACATAAAAATTCAGGAAATTAATTCACATACGATTTTATGTGGAGTGAATGACATATAATTTCTTTTCTGTCCAATCTTTCAATGTAATTTATTGGAGTAATACGTATGGGTAACTTTAAATACAGATAGGGGTAAGGCCAGAGGTGGGTGTTAAGTTCAGAGGTTCGGAAATCGGAACTACCTCAAAATTCGGAACTCGGAAATCAAAATTTTTTCGGAAATCGGAAAGAAAACAAACGTCGGAAATCGGAATTTCGACCCACATCTGGTAAAGACCGCATCATACCTAATGAATATTTTTTATTCTTAACTGGGTGTCTGAAATTAGATGTTTACTAGAAAAACCTGAATCATTTTCTAAAAACTTCGTACTACTCAATCTATAGTGGAATATTTTTAAAATTTTAACTTTCATAAGTAATTGAAGTCTTATTAATATTTAAATAATTTTCCTTTCATTAAATCTTGTAAAATACTTTTTAATTGTAATAAATTTAACGGCTTTAATTTTGTCTAATTTTTTCAAAAAAAAATTTGCCTTGAAAAATTGTTTAGAAAAGACTCGATTTACTCGATTACTTGAACTCTGCCAAAAATTTTGAACTCGAAATCGGGTTATGTATTCAAACTCGGCATACTCGACGTACTCTAGTTGAAAAATTTTTTTCGTAATCGTAATTCGTAATTACGACGCAACTCTGTAGTGCTCCACAAAGATTCATTTATTTGACATTGAAAAAATAAAAAAACGACCTAGTACTTTTACTTGAGTAATAGCACACCGAGTTGTGTGTTAACCCTTATTATCACGTATCTTTTGTTATAATAACTCTTTTGTTATAATATCAACCAAAATTAGACAAACTAAAGTAGCCTAACTTTTTTAAAGTAAAGTCCAAAAAAAGATGATAACGGGTTGGCAATCTGATTGGTGATCTAGAGCCGCAGGCGAAAATTAAGAAAATTTGGAAGGCGAAGTACCATTGTGTTGATTATAAATTATTAATTATTTTCGAAAAATTATGAAAATTTTTCGATTTTTCAAAAAAATTTGATTGAAAATAAACGCACAGTCTCTATTTTAACCTCAGCCTCTAATATACATAAGTACAAAAATAGAGGGGTTGAAAAATATAACCACAGTGGTTCTCTTAAAATAAATACAGTATATTTTATTAGATTTATTTTGCTGTAAATTTAGTCACTTATGCGTTCAGCTCGAAATTTATTATTATGATTTTATTATGTATATTTTTTGGATGTCGCAGTGAATGCCGACAAAAAATTAAATAAATTTGCAAAATCTGATATATGTACTGTTAGTGCTAATTCGTCACTTTTCCCATTTTCGGTTGGGTTCGGAAAGTTTTACTGACCAACAACCTAGCCTCTCATTATTATTGTTATTTTTTCAAGAAATCTGCGGGGTATTTTCTTTTGATATTGTCCACAGCGCAATGTTCTTTAGGCCAAAGCTAAAATAAAAAACTAAAAAAACCTAAACTTTGGCTAATTAAGGTAAAGCAGCTGGGACATAGCTATTCTGGGAACGAACCAGCATCTTTACTTATTTAATTACATAATATGTATTATTAAAATTGTTTCTCTTTAATAATCTACAATTATTATTGTAATTGTTTCGGAATTGGTTCATACAATGTTTTATTTTTGGATGTCATATATAATAATGACAATAATTAGATTGAAAATTAGATTTGAAATAGAGAAATATGTGATAAAAGTAACAAAGTATAAAATCAAAATTATTAAAGTGACTCTATGGTCGTCGGCAAAACGGTTGTCAAAACCGTGCGCTTCGGATGGGCTTGCGGCAGGATGCCGATAAAAATAGGCCTGGAGTCGAGGGTATGATTTTGATATGTAGATTTATATATCTTTCAAGTCAACTCAGCAATCCGATTCCAATGACGTAAATTACATATAATCTCATTTACATATATATAATCTCATTAACTCATTTACAAAAATTTAAAACCATTCTTGTGATTAAATCGTTCATTTTGTTGCATATGATGTTTTATTTTTGGATGCCATACTAATGGCAATAATTAAAGCGAAAATTCACAATTCTATTCTTCCCCAAAAATCATTTTTCCTAAGATCTTTTCTTGAGTTTTTTAACCATAATACCCCACCCCACTGATCTGAATTGTTAGAATTAATATGCGTTTTTAAATTTTTCACTCATTTAAAATTAAATAATAGTTCTGTCTTGTATGTTCAGTATGTTCGTATGTCTTTATTTTTGGATGCCATTCCTTATCAATTGGCAATAGATGACTTGGTTTTTAACCAACATTTTTTAGAAGATATAATGTAAAGCTATACTGTAAAACTATGCCTTTGCTCGTATAATATTTTATACACAGGTACTCGGTACGTGCTTCCAAATACTGTTCAAACCCTCATAGCTCACCCTTATCCTTCTAAATCCTAAATTCCCCGGTAAAGAGACATAGACGGTTTAGTAAATTAAAGATATCGAGGGATTTGGTGATTAAAAGGGAATTAAAAATAAACATAAATAACTCCTAAAATTAATTCAAATAAATCAAAAGCTAGAGAAATCCCGTGTAAAAATCCGTACGGAATTTTGCAAAATAATTCTAAGATTTTCAAAAAAAGTAGTCCAAAACTCTTCGGTGCTAAACCTTAGTTTATTTAATTAATATGCAATTTAAAATTTTTGCTTATTTATAATTTAAAATTATTATGGTGATTGTGTTTTGCGCAGTTACCGACAGTTTATTTTTGGATGCCTTACATAATAATGGCAATAATTGCGTTGGAAATTAATAGAGTTCAAAGTAAAAATTCATCTCTTTATTAGGCCTCAGTCTCTAATATACCTAGGCACAAAATTATAAGGGTTGAAAATATAACCTCAGTGGTTCTATTAGAATAAATACAATATATTTTATTAGATTTATTTTGCTTTAAATTGAGTTACTAATGGTTTCAGCTCTGTGATGGGTCCACCGTTTTCATGCTATTTTTGGATGTCGCATTGAATGCCGACAAAAAATTAAATAAATTTTCAAAATCTGATATACTGTTAGTGCTAGTTCGTTACTTTTCTGTGCTATCCGATAGAGGACCCCTACTTCCCATTTTTTTTTTGAATGGGGAATAAATGCGTAATTAATCGAAGAATTGAAATGAAAATCTTGAATGAGGCAAACGACAGAAATTTAAAAAATTTTAATACGGGGCCGAAGGCACCGTAAAATTATTTTAATAATTATGAGCTGGCAAAATTTACATGCGGGTCGAAGGCCTGCATTTTGTTATTAATTTTTTTGGTTTATTTATAAAATTGTAACTTTTGAAATATTAGTCGTAGAAAGATGGTTGAGGTGTCATTTGATGGGAAATTGAATGAGGAGTTGAATGAAGATATTTTTAAAAGTGTCACTTGAGTCTGAGGGTTGGACATTTGAGTCTGAAATTTTCCAATACTGGGAAATTGATCCAAATTATTTTAAACGAGTTGTAATAACGCTGGAGTCAGCATTTATACCCAAAAGCTATTAAAACTACTCAGCAATTCGCGCCGAACGCTGGTTTCAATATATTTCAATATTCTCCACTTTTTTCAAATTATTTCAATATTTTTACCAAAATTTTAGAATTTTTCATAAATTTTAAAAAAAAAGTGAAGAAATCTATACGCTTGCCAACGGAATTCTCAAAATTTTCGCCATCGGCATTGAAAAGGGGATATTATGGCCTATTATTCACTCCAGAGGCGCCGATTTCCAACAAATTCTCACTTAACAAAAACCTCAAAATGTCCTCAAACTAGAGTTGCGCGAGATCGAGATTTTAGAAAAAATCCGAGACCGAGATTGACCGAGACTCGCATGACCGAGACCGAGACCGAGATGCAAAATTTGACCCGAGATCGATATCGAGATCCGAGATAAACCGAGATTTTTCAAAACTTTTTATCCACCAAAACCTCATCATCAAAATCATCTGTTTCATCAGAATCAATTTCAGTTGTTGGAACAAGCAACAGTTTATCCATATTTGCCTTTACAACTAGAATTTTTTCCACCATTTCTCCAGAAAGACTTAAGTATAAAGCGTAGGGGACACTTGTTCATTAGAAGGGTTCGGTCTGATAGAGACAGTCGGTTTATTTTTCAACCTTCCTCTACTGGGTCGGTTTATTAGAAGGGGTCCGTCTATTAGAGACAGTCGCACTATTAGAAGAAATACGGTGTATATATATGTCACCGTCCAAATTACATTCTTGTCCAAATTGAATTTGGCCGATATCGAAGGATTTGGAAAAATATC